AGAAGGGTCCAGACCCGAAACGTAAGCTTTCCTGCTCCTCTGATGCTGCTTGGCCTGCTGTGTTCATCCAGCTCTACATCTAGATATTGCTCCGCTCCTTTTCAAGCTAGAACCCTGGGATCTTTTACATCAGAGACAGCTGATGGGATCTCAGTCTGACGTTTGATCTTAAACAACAATGCTGAATAACTGGTTTGATTCTACGATTTCTATTCAATTATCCAAAGATTTCTTGATTTACCAAGAATAATAAAATCTTCAGACTGAGACCAAGAAGCCAATAACAACAGTATTGATGTCACAATTTTCTGAGTGCAAGTAAGCTTCCTGATCCTACGATTTTGCCAACTCAGCTGTTCAGTTGATTACTGGGAAATGAACAGGACAATTTGGCATGATTTATCTGATCTGCTTTTGACATGAGGTGGCCAGGAATTCAACTCTCTTTTCTCTCTACAGATGCTGTCAGACCTAAGTTTCTCCAAAGGTTTTTTTTTGTTTCAGATCTCCAGCATCCACAGTTCTTTGACTTATATTCATAATGGAATATCTGTTTTAAAACTGTACATTACTCAAGGCATAGCATCTTATAGCACCAGTACAATTCATTATATGCACTATACCATTAAATTTAGGAAACAAAATGGTCCCACCTTTGTCTTCAGTCTGTTAAGAGTGGTTTCAGATTCAGTGTGTTCATGATTCTGTTCCTGAATACCACCTAGTTGACTGACAATTTGTCCATTCTCATAATCCTTCAGCTTCTTTTTGGTGGTCTTCAACAGTGTTCTTATTCTGCATAACAAACATTATCACCTGAATTGAATTCATCTACTATCTTAATATGACTTTTACTCGAGATTCTACTCTGCACTTCAAGTTATATTGCCTATAATCTGGAATATATGTAATAAGAAAACAATATACATGGTCTTTAAGGTAGAAAAAGTGAACTCAATTTAACTCTGTAATTGAATTAATTTAAAGCAAATTAAAAATCAGACCGAGGTGTTTCAGGAAGAATCACAGAATAATAGAAGCCCGACAGTGCAGAAAGAGGCCATTCGGCCCATCAAGTCACCCGGTGAAAGAGTATCCTGCCCAGACCCAGCTCCCACCCTAAAGGAAACAGCATCGAAAGGTTCTTTTCGAATATCTGCATAAAAATTGAGCTGGATACAAGCAAAGTCTGAGCAATGAAAGGTAGGATGGGGAATTGGAGAATGGGAAAATGGGGATAGAAGGTTTAAATAAAAGAATGGTTTTCTACAAGATAAACAAGAGAAGTTGTATATTTTACAACAACAATTAGCAATATTTACCATTTAAATAATATAGGGTTTCCAGTTTTGCACGAGAAGCACATGGAAAACAAGGCCTCTCTGCTAATCTACACTTTTCAAAATTATGCTCTTTACAGTACATTATCTTTCGATATTAGTCTTGGCAAAATGCAGCACTTTACTTTTTATTGTGCCATAGAGTCATTGGGATGTACAGCATGGAAACAGACACTTTGGTCCAACTCATCCATGCCGATCAGATATCCTAAATAAATATAATCCCATTTGCCAGCATCCCTCTAAACTCTTCCTTTCATATATTCCTATTCAGATACCTTTTAAATGTTGTAATAGTACCAGCCTCCACCGCTTCCTCTGGCAGCTCATTACATAGACACACAACCCTCTGTGTGAAAATGTTGCCCCTTAGATCCCTTTTAAATCTTTCCCTCTCACCTTAAAGCCTATGCCCTCTAGTTGGGGACTCCCCCACCTCAGGGCAAGGATATTGTCTATTTACACTATCCATGCCCCTCATGATTTTATAAGCCTCTGTAAGGTCACCCTTCAGCCTCCGACGCTCCAGGGAAAATAGCCCCAGCCTATTCAGCCTCTCCCCATAACTCAAACTCTCCAGCTCTGGCAACATCTTCGTAAATCTTTTCTGAATCCTTTTAAGTTTCACAACATCTTTCTTTGGAGGGAGACCAGAATTGCGCACAGTATTCCAACAGCAACCTAACCAATGTCCTGTACAAGCGCAACATGGCCTCCCATATACCCCTATACTCAATGCACTGACCAACGAAGGTAAACATACCAAAACCTTTTTTCCCAATCCTATCTACCTGTGATTCCACTTTCAAGGAATTATGAACCTCCACTCCAAGGTCTCCTTGTTCAGCAACACACCCTAGGACCTTACCATTAAGGTGTATAAGTCCTGCCCTGATTTGCCTTTCCAAAATGCAGCACCTCACATTTACCAAAATTAAACTCCATCTGCCACTCCTCAGCCCATTGCCCCATCTGATCAAGATCTCGTTGTACTCCAAGTAACCTTCTTTGCAGTCCACTATACTCCTAACTTTGGTATCATTTACAAACTTACTAAACATACCTCCTACGTTCACATCCAAATCATTTACGTAAATGATTAAAAAAAGCAGTGGACCCAGCACTGATCCTTGTGGCACACCGCTGGTCACAGACCTCCAGTCTGAAAAGCAACCCTCCACCACCAACCTCTGTCTTCTGCCTTTGAGCCAGTTTTGTATCCGAATGGCTAGCTCTCCCTGTATCCCATGTGACCTAACCTGGCTAATCAGAATATCATGAGGAACCTTGTCGAAAGCCCACATAGATCACATCCACTGCTCTGCCCTCATCAATCCTTTTCATCACTTCTTCAAAAAACTCAGTCAAGTTAGTGAGAGACAATTGCCCACAAAGCCATGTTGACTAACCCTAATTAGTCCTTGCCTTTCCAAATATATGTAAATCCTGTCCCTCCGGATTCCTTCCAGAAACTTGCCCACCGCTGATGTCAGGCTCACCAATCTACAGTTCCCTGGTTTTTCCTTACCACCTTTCTTAAGTAGTGGCACCACATTAACCAACCTCCAGTCTTCCAGCACCTTGCCTGTGGCTAATGATGACACAAATATCTCAGCAAGGGGCCCAGCAATCACTTCCCTAGCTGGGGTATACCTGATCAGGTCCCAGGGATTTATCCACCTTTGTGCGTTTTAAGAAATCCAGTACCACCTCCTCCGTAATATGGACATTTTTCAAAATGTTGCTATTTACCTCCCCATGTTCTCTATCTTCCATATCTTCCGCAGTAAACACTAATTCAAAATACTCATTCGGTATCTCCCCCATCTCCTGCGGTTCCACACAAAGGTGGCCTTACTGATCTTTAAGGGGTCCTATTCTCTCCCTAATTACCCTTACTGTCCTTAATGTATTTGTAGAATCCCTTTGGATTCCCCTTAACCCTATTTTCCAAAGCTATCCTACGTCCCCTTTTTGCTCTCCTGATTTCCCTCTTAAGTAAACACCTACTGTCTTTACACTCTTATAGGGATTCACTCGATCTCTGCTCTCAATAACCTGACATATGCTTCCTTCTTATTCTTAACCAAAACCTCAATTTCTCTAGTCATCCAGCATTCCTACAACTACCAGCCTTGCCCTTTACCCTAACAGGAACATACTGTCTCTGGACTTGCATTATCTCATTTTTGAAGGCTTCCTATTTTCCAGCTGTACTTTACCTGTGAACATCTGCCCTCAATTTGAATGCTATTTGCCATGTCACAATCCAATGTCATCTGCAAGCTGACAACACATCAGTATCTACAACTTTGTTAAATTCTATTGATCACCAAACATTATGGACCAGAATTTGCAATCAGCATTGAAACAATGGCACTGGCTGCTGACTTTAAAGAAAGTGGTCTGGAAAAATATAGCAATTTTTGTGGAGTGGATTTCCTATTGACAGGCCAAACTCAATTAAGGAGATCTCCAGGAGTCTAAAAGCAGCAATGTCAGCAAACAGGGACAAGCAACCAATCACAATGAAATGTTCTCAAAGACAGCAAACCAGGAAGTTAAAAGTACTAATTATCCCTAATTTTTTAATTTAAAATTTCAGACAGTGAAATGAATAACTGAATCAATACAGAAGCTAAAATACCCTCAAACTTTTGACACCTCATTCTAAAATGCAGTTTTATCTTAATGGAGATATTTTATATTGAACAAATAGAAAGTTAACGTTCAAGGTCAGTGAGGGTGTTTAACAGTAATTAAAAGTTTAGTCTGTTAAAAACCAAGTAATGCTTCATTCAGCAAGATGTACATTTTTCTAGGGCTTTTACACTGAGATTAACAGCAAAAAAGTAGAATTGAATTTGAATTGAATGGTGGGGGTGCCTCAAAAGTGCCACCTTTGATGGGGCATTGAATTGCTGACAGCAGTTTCTGAATGTGCAGATTCCCAAAACTGCATTTGATTTCAGAGGAGTAATGATGAAAAAAACTGACAGTTTTGCCAACATTGCCATACAAAACTCTGGGCCTATAATGCTGCTTCCTTAGCCCAAGTTTCACGGAATTCATAAAAATTCAAAAGACTCTTAGTAAACATCACTGCGAATCATCATCCCATGTAGAAAACCTCCATCTGCCACAACACTTTACTTCCCGATCTTAAGCAATTTTATATCCAGCTACACTTTTCCCTTAACTGAGCAGGTTTTCATCTATAGGAAGCCTTTGCACACTAAGTCAAAAGGCTTTTGAAAGTTCACGTACACAACATCTACTGTACTAACTTTCATATCAACATCTTCTGATACAAGAATTTGGTAGTCAAAGGAAATGCACATTTCACAAATCCATGCAGCTGTCCACATTCAAGTCCTGGCTTTCCAAAGTAAAAAGTTTATTTTGTCTACGATATTCATTTTCAATAACTTCCTCACCACTGATGTTAGGCTAACGGGCCCGTAGTTTCCTGCTTTATTCCTTTTGAAAAGTGTTATAATAACACCAACATTTTATTCCTCTGGGATTACTCCTGAACAGAATAAGGTTTGATATATTATGATAAGTGTCTCTGCTATTTCTACTTTTGCTTCTTTCAGTAGCATAGCCTGACTTTCATCTACATCAGCAAGCTTACTAACTTTCAGTAATGTTAATCTTTTTAGTATCTCTTTTCTATCTATTATTATTGTCTTGTCCCATAATTTCCTTTTGCTCTTTTGGTTTAACCTTAGCATCATTTGCTTCCTTTGTGAAGGCAGATGACTCATTTAATATTTCTGAAGAAGGGTCTAGGCCCGAAATGTCAGCCTTTCTGCTCCTATGATGCTGCTTGGCCTGCTGTGTTCATCCAGCTCTGCACCTTGTTGTCTCGGATTCTCCAGCATCTGCAGTTCCTACTATCTCTGACTCATTTAATACTTTTGCCACATCCTCAGCCTCTCCATAAAACACTTGCACCTCATATTTACAAAACATTTTCCAGTTCAACTTACATGCTAACCTTGTAAACCTCTCTTTGCCTCCTGGATGGAGTTCTTCTATTCTGGCTATTATTCAAATCTTACTCCTGACATTTGTCATTAGCATCCTTGTGTTGTTTTATTCTAACATTTATATTCTTTATTATTAGGGTTTGAGCTTTGGAAGGCTTTTATCTCTAAAAGAAAGTTGATTTCAAGTGGGGCATCTTTCTCTTCCCAGAGTCCCCATGACTGCTCTGAACATCTCCAAATAGAATTGCTGGTTCCAATCCGTGATAGATCCTTTCTTATATCACTAAAATTAGTTCCTCCCCAGTAAGTTTTTTTATGTTTATAATTTTCCTGTCTTTTTTCTTAATTATTCTGAAACTAAATTATGTTATCACTACTGTAGCTAGATGATCTCCAACTGTAATACATTCACTTGTCCCAGGTGATTACCTATGTCCAAATACAACATTGCTTCCTTCCTTTTTAGCTGAGGCATAAGAATCAAAGAAGTCTACACAACAGCAGAAAAAGGCCATTCAAAATAGGGATCAAGTTGAGGGGACTTGTGGAGATAGGTAAAATGATTAATTATTTTGAGCTGGAAAAGTATGTGCCAAAATGATAAAGAGTTACAGAAAACAGCCTGATCCTGGAAATGCATGATACATACAAAATATTCTAAAATACAGTCTAAATACATATTGCAAAACTGAATGTCATACCGACTTAGTTCTTTCTGAAGCTCATTGTTTCTTTTCATTTCCTGAGCCAGTCTGGTTTCTACTGACCGCTTAAACTCAACCAGCTTCTTTACTTTTTTCCTTTCACTTTCAACCTTTTTTAAAAAAAAAGGTATTTCTTTCAATTCAAGATTAATACACAAAGATGCATACATATATTTATCTTAATACTTAAGCTACAAGTGATGGAAATCAATCATTACAAATAGATTAATAAAGACTTCCTATAATGTCTTTTTTAAAAAACTGATTCATGGGAATGGGGCATCACTGGCTGGGTAAGCATCCCTTGTTGCTCTCAGGGTGGTGGTGGTGAACTGCCTTCTTGAAACACTGTAGTCCATTTGGTGCAGATCCATGATGCTATTAGGAAGGGAATTTATGAACATATGGCAAAGTTTTTTAAATTCTGTAATTGGGCATTTTAAGCAACAGCACCATAAGACTGTGCAAAAACTATTTTATTATGCAATGTTCACGAGCAGTTAACAGATTATTTTGCAACAAAATACATTATTATTCTATACTGTACATTTATATCACACAAGGAAGCTCTTAATATCAATTAAAAATTTTCGTTTGCTGTGCCATTCAACAGTTAAGATAGGAAATAAGCTACAAATTTTGAGTTAACTGTTATTTTGTTTACAGTAAAATTAGATGTTTGTAATTTTTGAAACTTAAACCTCATTCACACAGATTTTATGGTCAGTGATTAATGAACTTTACCACACTTGCCCAGACTTTTTACAGGCTTTTTGGCTGGAATTTGTTGTGATCAGAACTCTAAGAGAGCTGTGCCCTCTAGTGGGGACCTTTGCAAAAACAAGGCAGGCAAAATGTATCTTCTTAACTAGATGGCAGAATCATTACTGAGGCATTAAAATGCCCCTCTTCACCTCAGAAATACGCTGGGCTTGAGTCAGGTGGGAGATCAAAGGCTTATAAATCTAAATCCCAATTACAGTCCACCCATTTCGAAAAGTTTTAGAGAAGCTACGATGGGGTCAGGTTTGCTAATCTCAATACAGCACCCATCAACACTTAGCCTCCAGTGTATCATAGAATCATAGAATCCCTACAGCGTGGAAACAGGCCCTTCGGCCCAACAAGTCCACACCGATCCTCAGAGCGTCCCACCCAGACCCATCCCCAAACACTACAGGCAATTTAGCACAGCCAATCCACCTATCCTGCACATCTTTGGACTGTGGGAGGAAACCCACGCAGACACAGGAAGAATGTGCAAACTCCACACAGACAGTCGCCCAAGGTAGAATCGAACCCAGGTCCCTGGTGCTGTGAGGTAGCAGTGCTAACCACCATGCCACCTGTTGGTGACAAAGGTCTCCTGCCTGCAAAGAATAGTTGTTGCAGAGATACCTATGGGTTTCAGATACATAGTTCTTTTGAAAGTTGTGTCATAGGTAAACAGGGTGGTTAAG